TCAGACTGCCAGTAAAAGAGCCCTGGGTACATATATTCACCGTGAGAACACTAAGGCAAGTCCACGGATTGCTGGCCCCACCAGGTCAAACCAGGTGATAGCCTAATTGAAGACCGGCTTGTGTCGATGGCCAGCAGGCCGACTTTCTGCCTGGAATGCCATCCACAGGTTTCCCTCTTTCTGATCGGATGTTTGGGGGCAATGCTCTAACACACACGTTTGCCTGGAGAATTTGGGGAGCTTTAGCAGGGGGCAGATGCACAGTGCAAATAACTGGATAAATGCTGAAGCCAAAGGTGGTTTCAGGAACGGTAATGTGCTTATCACACTAAGGCTCCAAAGAGCCAGGGTGCTGAGAGACTCCTGGACGGCCAACACGTGCCTCTGAGCCAAGCACCTGACCCTCGGCCAGCCCAGTGTCTCCATATCCAGCGTCATAGTTACAGCAGACCCCCGGAGCCAGCGTTCAGGTTCAACTCCCGGCTCCACCACTTACCAGCAAGGCACTCAGCCTCCCTGTGCTGCAGTTTCCTTATCTACACAATGGAGATGATAGTAACTACCACGAGGAATTAAGTGAGTTAACATCTGCAAAGCTCTCAGTGCAGGGCCTGATATGCAGTAAGCACCACATAAGTGTTTACTACACACCAAAAAAAACCCCCACTTTTAAGTCTATATTTCTGCTGCTTCTCAAATCGCCTCTCTCCTGTTTAGAGTTTCCTGAGGCACCTCATGTGTCAAAACCAGCCACAGCAAAGGTGGTCTCGAAACAGATGAGAGGCTGAGGACAACGCGTGTCATCAAGAGGCCGCAATCATCAAGGTGAACGCCCTTGGGGAAATAAGAGGCTCAGGGGAACAGGACACACTGCTGTTGACCTCAGAAATCCAGAGATTAGAAAAGAAATCAATGCAGCTATCAAGCACGCTGAGAAAATTCAAACGGGAATGGCTAACACGGATCTTCTTCTGAACTTGTCTTCTAAAAAGAAACAGCAGAAAATTTAAAATCTCAATTTCAAAACTTAAGGCTTTTGTTAAAGGTGTCCCCAAACCCATATAAAAGTTATCTCTAAAAAACCACAAGACCAAACTTACAAAACTCGGGGAAAAGCTGTAAAGAGAATCTGCACACTTGGTTAGGTGAGGAGGTGTCCGGCCCAGTGTCACGCTGAAAAACAATTTCACACGCGAATAAGGGCCTGGAAGATTGGCCAGCAGGTCAACCCCGAGGTGTTGCGCGCTCCTTAAAGGGCTGCAGGGCTGAGGAAACGGCGTCCCACACTCGGGACGCCCCCCTTGGTGCCTTGGAGTGCCAGCATCTTAGTAAGGCGAAGGGCGTAGCCGGCTGCTGAGCCAGGTCCCCGTCGCCCCGCGCCCCGCGCCCCCTTCACTTGCCAAGCTGCACGCAGGGGCCAGGGGCCGCCCGCCGGGCTGCGCCACCGCCTTCGCCAGCCAGGCGGGTCTCCGCGGACGTCACCCCGCGGGCACCCAATCCCGCCGCCCTGCGCCCTGGCCTGGAAGGCGGCGGGTCCCCACTGCGCCGGGCGCGGCCCGGGATTATTCTCCACTTGGCCCCTCGGATACCATTCCGAGGACACCACCTGTGGGGCACCACCCGGCGGACACCACCGCTCGGACATCACCCCGCGGGCGACTGGCCCCGCCGCCCTGCGCCCCTGCCCGTGGCCCCGCGCGCCCCCGACCA